GTCCCCTACCACCACTCCTCAGAACACCGCAAACACAGACAGTGTGTGAAATCCAGAGACACCTCCACGTGAGGAAAAGACGGAGTCCCCTACCAGCACTCCTCAGAACACCCCAAAATCGTTCTGACAAGACCCAAGGGGCACAGCACACGATGCAGGTCAGCTGCCACCGCTCCTCAGAGCCCCCTCGGAGGCCCACTGTCGCCCACACTGAAACCAGTCCTGTGCCCACTTGTTTCTCGATAAGCAGTTCTCTGAACACTGCACTCCCCTGACAGCCGTGAGCCAGACAACGGTGTGGTTCCCACAGGGCTTCTGGCTTTCACAGTCGCCTTGACTGGGGCAGCAACCAAGGCCTCGCACATGGAAGGAATAAGATGAATGTCTGGCCAAACGAGTTGCTACTCAACCTCCCCTCCCCTGGGGTCTGGCCCCAATGCTCGTCTTTCAGCTTCTAGAACACACCAGCCCCGCCCCTCGGCACCCCCACCCCACCCCACCCCACACATAGCCCCCGCCCACACGTACCTCCCCTCCCCACTCCAGCCCAGTGTAGGTGGGCACCCAAGGGACGTCAGCAGAACTGATGCAGAGACGAGAGGACAAAGCCATGAGCTGAGGTCATCCACACCCCTCCACAAGGTCCAACTCTCCACAAGGTCCCTGCCTGCCCGTGCCCCAGCCCTCCAGAGAAGGGGTCCTGTCTGCCCGTGCCCCAGCCCTCCAGGAGAGGGCTCTTGGCCAGCTCAGAAGCGTGCATGTGGGATTCTAGAAGGATCTCTCATTGCTTGGCACCCCCCAGATCTCCTGGAAGAGTACCGAGTTGGAAGATCGCATATTTTCAAAACACCCATCGACAGCGGGGAAACTCAATAATTATCTGACAGGATCCGTGGCCTGAGACACCACCGTTCCCTGCCTCCTAGGCTTGGCAACATAGCTTCAGCATCGCCCCGTGAAACAGGTGAGGCTGTAACCACCATCCAGCCCCCCAGAGCCATCTAGGCCACAATAACAAGGACACTGAAGTGCCGGGAATAAGGAAGATGCTATTACTGCGCATTTTCTAGGAGCCAGGCACCATCCTGCACACTAGGTGGACACCACTGGGGCTAGTCCTATGACTGCCCTTGTTCCACAAACAACGTACAGGGAGAACCCGTGACCACCAGGACAACCTGGCTCGTGACTGCTGGGGGGGACCTGCACGCAGACGCCTGGCTGCAGAGACATCACCTGTGGGGCATGGTGAGGGAGGTGGGGCGTGTGCTGAGCTCACCTTCCATCGCAGACTCATCCCAAATGCTCACCAACCATTTTGCCAAAATCTGTACCTCCACGTAAGATGCAGAGCCCCACATCGACAGTTCACAGGAAAAAAACCACCCAGGCAGACTGAGGGGCAGAGGGGGCAGAACGCAAGGACACTGTGTGCAGGTCTCCTGCGGACATTTCTAAGCATAAGCGGCCTGGTCCCAGGAAACGTGCAAATGTCGGCCCCCACGGTTGAGCCGCCAGCACCCCACGCCTGGCGCTCACAACTTCACGCCGACGGGAAGGGCACTTACCAATCTGCAAGAGGATTGGCGTGACCAAGGCTGTCTCCATGGCGTAGCAGAACTCCCTGCCAAACATCACGGCTCCGTGCATGACCCACAGGCGCACAGGGATGCGGTCGATGGACCCCTCGCTAACCGTCTCGTCGTGGCTCTCGGCCTCCTTGCTCTCGGGCTTCTGCAGGTCGGGCACGGGCATGGGTAACTCTTGAACTTGCATAGATTCTGGGTCGGCATTCTGCGGAGCCATTTTCATCACCACCAAAAATATATATGTGTGCGTGTATATAGATGTGTGTGTATATATATATGGACTCTACCTATATAAATAACACTATGGTAAATCTTTATTGATAAATTAAGACGTCTTCTCTTTCGGCTTCGGTCGGGCTCCTCAGGGAAGTAATACTTATATTCCTCTTTGTACAAATGGATACTTCTAACTTCTCACAGTCGTAGGAGGCGTGCAGCAAAATAAGACGATTTTTGGTTGGATTTCAGACATATGGCTTGCTGGTTTACTGTGCGTTAGAGTTAAAAATCCATAAATGCCATTCAGTTAATACCAGTTTCATCATTATTCCTGTAGAGGTGCTGATGCTACTTCTCTTGCTACGGAGAGGAGGGCAGGTGGTACAGACAGGTGGTCCGCTGTAAATCCCCATCGAGCGACTGGTTGACCTGCAAGAGAAGAGACACCCAATCGGGGAGTCAGAGGGGCGCCGAGCCTCCCCGCCACCCGCCCGCGAGCGCTCTGGGCACCCCACGGGACCAGCCTGGTTCATTCAGAGACCTCTACGGATCTCTCAGAGCCTTGACTCTCAGGAGCTTCAGCTCTGGTTGGATCTGTGGACACAGCCCAATCTAGTTCCCAGAAAAACGACATTTCCTCACAAAGAGCATGAGCCTGGGGAAAGGGTACAGATGAGGACAGCACAGAGGAGCAGGCACGGCGGGCAGCTGCAGATGGGAGGGGCGCCATAGTGCGGACCGCGGCCAGCAGCCCTGCTGACTGTGGAGTGCAGGCACACCTCGCTTCACCGGGCTTCACTGTATTGCGATTCGCAGGTACTGCACTTGTTTTCCTCTTTTTAAATACCGATTAAAGGTTAGTGGCACCCCCATGTCAAGCAAGTCTTGTCAGCATCACTTTTCCAATAGCCTGTGCTCATTCCGTGTCTTTGTGTCACGTTTTGGCAATGTCTGCCACATTTCCAATGTTTCCATCCCACTGTCACACACGTAACTGACTACAGTCTAGTGTGAACACAGCTTTCACACACACAGGGAACCCAAAAGCCTGTGTGCCTTGCTTTAGTGGGATGCCCAGTTTACTGCACTGGTCTGGAACCAGACCCGCAGTATTTCTGCGGTACGCCTGTAATAAATGGACCTGTACCCATGATGTGGTTACAGGTCTACTTATTGGGCCTGCAGATATGATGACACGGGTGTGGAGAAGGGGGGAGGAGGAAGGTGGAAGAGTGTGACTAAGAGGGAGAGGAGAAGGGAAACTTTAGACACTGCCTGGGAGTGTGGCAAAGAGCTGAAGTGGGTGGATGAGCGCGTCGGGGATCAGCGCCGGGAAAGGGCGAGTCCCACGTCTGTCCGAGAGCCATCTGGCTCTCCTGGCCCGTTATGTAAGCTGTGCTCCTTGGCCTCTTCAGGCTATAAAACCTCCGACAATCAAACGATTGAAGTTGTAACTCTTCTCTCTGGAAAAGTACACACACTACACAGCTTGAGTAACATCTGGGCCCACCCTGGCATTCCCAAGGGGCTCTGGAACCCCCACGACCCCAGTGCTAGAGTGTACACTGTCCCAGCTCCGACACTGTCTTTGGGACATACTCTCCACCTGGAAAAACACACCACAAAAGAGTGCTGACAGTGTAGGACACAACTAATGAGAAACCTTCCCAGAACGTTTTCAGAAAAATGAGGTTGATGTCCTCGCGTAAGGCAAGGTCAGGACACAGAGACACAAACACCCACACGCATCCAGAGCTGGGGCCACAGATACGCAGTGCTATGGATTGAACTGTGTCCCCCAAAATCCATGCCAACTTGGCTGGGCCATGAGTCTTGGTATTAAGTAACTGTCCTCTGTTTTGGGATCTAATGTAATTAATTACCCTGTGTGTTGTCAGTCCTCACCGCCATGATGCCAACGAGGCAGGGTATAATCTGCAGGACCAGGGTGTATCTCGAGTCAGTCTCGTCTGAGATAAAAAAGAGATTCAACAAGAGAGCAGAGGAGGGACCTACAACCACCAAGGAGGAGGTGCCAAGAGCAGATCGTGTCCTTTGGACCTGGGATCCCTGCGCTGAGAACCTCCTAGACCCGGGGAAACTGATGCCGAGACACATGGAGCTCTCCGGAGAACACCAGGCTCACACTGTTGACAGGATACAAGGGCTGTCTTAAGGGGCGACACAGAGAACCCTCCTCTACAACTGGTGCCCTGAGCTCAGACTTCCTGCCTACAAACTGTCATCATCATCATTGTTATGTGCCCTTGAGTCAGACCTGACTCATAGCGACCCCTCCTTGGGTTTCCCAGGCAGTATCACTTAGGAAGTAGACTGCCCAATCTTCCTTCCAAGGAGTGGCTGGTGGGTTTGAACCGCCAGCCTTCTGGTCAGCAGTCAAGTGCCTTAGGCACTGTGCCACCAGAGCTCCTTATGAAACTGTAAGTGAATACATTTCTATCTGTTAAAGCCGCCCACTTGTGGTATTATCTGTGGTAGTAGCACCAGGTAACTAACACATGCAGTGTCAGTCCAACCTGGAGTGACCATGAACTTGGACAAGGTGATGTCCACATTTTCTACTCTGGACGGCCTGTGGGCTGACCTACAATTCAGCTTACCCGCTGAATTTTTTTTTAACAACTGATGTAAGCATTTTTAGTTGGTGCTCACTTAACCAAATGATCACCCTAATTAGCCCAATTTTCCCAGAAGGAACCAGAAAGCTCAGTCACTTCCCTCCTCCACCACCTGTGATGGTGGCTCCCAGGCCGAGGCAAGCTGTCCAGATGTGCCCAGGTCTTGGGGAGGAGCCACCTCAGCAGTCCCACAAAGCCAGTGCTTCTCCTCTCTGGAGAAGCCTCCCTGCAAGAGGGTCCTAGACTTTGCTCCTTTCCTGCTGCAGCTCAAGTTCAGATCCTTACTGGTTCTTCAGGAATCAAAGGCCCACAGAGCACAACCTATATATGTGTGCTGCTTACCCATCCACCACTATCAGTTCGATCCCAACTCCCAGTGCCCTTAGAGGATAGAGTGGAACTGCCCACAGGGTCTCCAAGGCTGTGATCTTTACAGAAGCAAAGCCCAAACCACACCCACTGCCTGGAGTCCATTCTGACCCACAGCGCCCCTAGAGGACAGAGTGGAACTGCCCACAGGGTCTCCAAGGCTGTCAGTCTTCACAGAAGCAA